GGGTGGGACGAACTCTTGGTTTTTTCCCCACCATTTGGCCTCAGCCGTGAGCTCCATCAAAAGATGTTGAGGTAGGGTTGGGCAGTTAAAGCCCAGCTTTGCTGCCAAGGACCAAACAGGGTGGCCCCAGAGAACTGGAAAGTCCTGGGGAGACTTTGGAGGGTGGATCTTGGGACAGAAACTTCATAAAGTTGTTTACAAACTCCTGAGCTCCCCTAAATGGGCATGTGTGATCTGATCCAGAAATTTAAGGACAGCACCATTTATAATAGCTTCCCTAAAACGGAGAGGCTTGGGCATAAATCCAATGAGACATGTACAATTTGTATGTTGAAAACTACAAAATGCTGATGAAAGACACGAAGGAAGGTCTGAGTGAACAGAGAGACACACATGTTCGTGGATCAGAGGACTCAACATAGTAACATGTCCATTCTCCCCCAACTGATTTATAGATTTAACATAAATCTCAGCCGGATTTTTTGTAGATAGAGACAAACTGGTCCTAAAATGTATACGAAAAGGAAAAGGCATTTAAATAGCCAAAACAATTCTGAAAAGGAAGAATAAATGTTGAGGGATGACAGTACCAGGTATTAAGACCTACCGTAAAGCCACAGTGATAGAGACCGTGTGACACTGGCAAAGGTGTAAACACACGGAGCCAAGTGACAGAAGAGAATTCATAATCAGACACACAAATATGGCCAAGTACTTTTTGAAAGGATTTAAAACAATTCAATGAAGAAAGGATAATCTTTCCAACAAATGGGGTTTGGAACAATTACACTTTCTTGTACAAAAAATGAACCTCAGTTTAAACCTCACACTGTATACATGGATGAACCCAAAAGGGATCATAGCCCTAAATGGAAAATGTAAAAACTACAGCATTTTTAGAGGAAAACATAGGAAAAATATCTTCGGTACCTGGCCTTAGGCAAAGTGTTCTTAGATATGACAGCAAAACCATGATTCATAAAAGAAAAAATAGGTAAATTAGACTTCATGAAAATTAAGAACTTTTGCTTTGTGTAAGACATGGCTAAAAGAATGGAAACACCAGCTACCGGTTGGGAAAATGTTTGCAAAACCCATATCTGACAAAGAATGTGCAGCTAGACTACATAAAGAACTTGTAAAGCTCACTTGGGAGAAAACAACCCCACTGAAAAATGGATAACAGACTTGAATGGACACTTAGCCACAAAGGACATGTGGAAGTGATTATGCACATGAACAAACGCTCTTGTCATTATTGTTGGCCCTTAATGAATTAAACGCATGATGAGATTCCACCACAACATTGCTAGAATGGCTAAAATAAAAAATACCGATGTGGTGTGGACACAGAGCAGCTGGCAGCCTCAGATGTTTCTGGTGGGAATGCAAAACAGTTCAGCCACCCTGGAAGCCATTTGGCAGTTTTTTAATCAGGTTAAACATATAGCTTGTGATATGACCCAGCAATCTCACACCTAGGAATTAGCCCTAAAGAAATGAAAACTTATGTTTACACAAAATATGGACACGACTGTTTATATTATGTCTATTTGTAATTACCAAAACTCTGGAACCCAAGTATCCTTCACTGGGTGAATAGACAAACTGGGGTACCTCTGTGCAATGGAACACTACACAGTCACGAAAAGGACTAATCACAGATACATACAACTAGGTGGATCTCAGAGACATTACGCTGAATCAAAGTCTCAAAAAATCATGACGGTATCGTTCCACTTTGACAACATTCTGGACAAGACAAAACCACAGTGATGAACAGATGAGTAGTTGCCAAGGGCTCAGGGGTGGCCGGGGCGACTCAGGAAAAATGGAGCTCAGGAGTCTGTCGGGGTGATGGAGTGTTCCGTGTCCTGACTGTGGTGTGGGTTAAACAAATCTGTGCACATGTGAAAATGTACAGAAATATACAGAGAACAAAAGTCAATTTTACTGTTTGCTCATTTACGAGGATAAATTTTGAAAGTACATGAAGAACGAACATCATTTTTTGCAGATCTAGAAAAAACAGTTCTACGCTTCATATGGAACCAGAGGAGACCCGGTATAGCAAAAGCAATCTTAAGCAAAAAGAACAAATTAGGGGGCATCAATTTACCAGACTTC